ATTAAGGTTTTTATTTTACCTATTCGTTTGTACTTACTATCCAATGGTTGTTTGATCTATTGAAATTGTTAATCACGCGACCACAAGTGACCCTCATTCGTCGTTTGCTAATCTCCTGCTCCCTCCTCATCCCTCCTCTACACTCTCTCACCTTCCTTTACTTTATCCATTTCTCTCTCTCTTTAAATATACCTCATGATCCTGGACAAGATGACATGAATACGAATAGAGGTGTTGATTTTCTAATTATACATGCACAAATAAAGCCCAATACATGCATACTTATTTGTGCATATCTGCGGGCTCCGACGAGACGGCGAGACGCACACAAATCTACTGACGTATGCAGGCATGAAAGCGGACGAAGGAAGGACCGCCCAAATGATAAAGTAGGAAACAAACAAATGGACGGTATCTAGGACATGCCGATCTGATTAATATGATCAACATCTTGCTTTTCTTCAAAGTACCATACTACATGTCCACAGACTAGTTCAAAAGATCGATCAGGATTAGTTGCAATTTCACAGTTGTTGTGTATATGTGTATGTACTTTACATGGTAATGTGGGAGGAGGCTGACGGTACTTCGTTGCTAAGTTGACCGAATCAACAAAATGACCAAACCAGACATGGCAACTGGTTCGTGGAAGATGTCGTCTGCCGAGCCGATCGAGGCCACGTTGGTCGGGAAAGCGTAGGAGTCACCCTCGCAACAGCGAGACTCTTCCCACAGTGTCACATGTGAAACCGATTTCTCCAATCGCCGAGCCTCCTTCCGCTCGTCTGCAGACGGCTCATCACAGCCCAGAGTGGAGGCGACTTCAACTGATCACCACCTCCGATCTTCACACGTTCACGCAAAAAATCGGCAAGACAGCATTGGAGATACCGGACCGTCGTCCAGAGCCAGTCTGGCATCCCAAAAACGCTCCGGCAGGCCATAACCATCGTCCACAAACATAGCAAACCCCATTAACAGCCCTAGGCACAACAAAATTGTCGTGCTAATATCATCATAATCCACACTACAATCATAGATGTTGAGCTCTTTTCCCTTTTCAGTGAGAGCGTGTCATGAAGAGATCCGAAGTTAGGTTCTATCGGAAGACGACAGCTTCAATCGAAAAGCACGTTTATTACTGCCGTCGAGACAATCACCTTGGATACCGATGTCTCTACATTTGTGGGTTGGCACAGAAGAGACAAGGTCATAGGAAGTAATAGACCTGACATTATGGATGTAAGCACGATAGATGCTGCAGAGACTAGAGTTAGTTGGCTAACAGTAGAGGTGTTTGATTGTAGGCGTGGTCCATGAAGCAAAAGCATGACGATGACAATTTTTCGGGGTATATAGCCTCAATTTAATCTCCCGTACAGCTTGAGAATCCAGACTTTGTCGGTCTGCTTAACGAGGCAGGAGTAGGCGTTACATCAAAAGCTTGAGGCAGAGTGTTGGAAATAACACCTCGAGTAGCACAGATAGGCTGGCAGGGGTCAATTGAAAGCGAAACGTCTGGGAATGT